CCTAAACCCTAAGCCCTAAACTGCGTCTTCAGGTCGCTTAAAGGGTGGGTTTTTTTAGCTTAGCAACTCACACATTGTCACATTCGCTAGAATGGTGGGTGGCCGTCCTGGACTACTCGGTGCCTTTTAAATCCTAAACCCTATAAAGCCTAAGCCCCAAACCTAACCCCCCACCCACCAGCCATGGCCAGCGAGAAGGCTTCGGAGGTCTTGAGCCAAGGCCTCTTCCGATCGGTGGATGGGCAGGAGGTGAGCCACGGCTGTTGAGCCGTTCTAAATGGTTCCAGAGTTGAGGCTGCAGGGTTTAGGTGCTCAGAGATTGGGATTGTGGTTATGAGGGTTTGGATATTCTGTCTTAGGATTGTGAGTTGTTGCTGCTTGGGGTTTGGGTTGCAGTTAGGATGCAGTAGGGGTACAGGGGAGGGTTTTTGAGATGCTGCAAGATGCATTGGGGTCATCTCCCAAATTCTCTGAAAGACGACAGCCCACCCAATGGAGCAGCACGAGAAGCTTTCAAAGAGTTACTTCAAATCGGAGAGGGACGTTCCCCCCCGAGACCCTTTGCTTAGGTGCTGAGAGGCTTCGGCTCCGTTTTCAACGTGGACGTGCCTTTTGAGCAAAGTGCGCTGGTGGAAACTGATGTCACCTCCCTTGCAGCAGAAGTTGACATATTCGTGAGCCATTCTTGGTCATCCAATCGCTGGTCCAAGTACTTGGCTGTGTGTTTTGCGTTGAACATGCGCAATTCTGTGGTTGCCTGCGCCTTGGCGCTTGCCATGCTGTTCTCATATGATCTTCACTGTGCTGCCACGGACTCGAGTTGGTGCGCTGGCACTGGCTTCACAATCATGGTGTGCTTGTGCATTATGTTTTTGTTCGTTTTTGCGCTCTTCCTGGGACAGCATCTGCTATGTGGACTGTGGGGGCCTAAGTTGTGGGTGGACAGGCTTTGCATTCTTCAGACTGACGACGAGCAAAAAGCACGGCAGATCAACGCGTTGCCATACTTTGTGATGCAGTCGAAGCAGTTGCTCATGCTATACGACGATTCGTACTTGCAACGCTTGTGGTGTGTTACGGAGCTGGCGGTCTTTGTGAAATGCTCTGGTGCCGCACGGGTTCGGTTCTACCCATTATGGCTACCACGATGGTTGCTTATCACGCTGCTGCTGGATGCCATGCAAGTCTGTGTTTTTCTTCTTGTTATGTGGCTTTTTCCGCAGACGTTGGCAGTGACTTCGTCCTTGGTGGGTAATCGTGGTTGGAACCACTTTCTGGGCCCTGTTGTTGGTTGGGGCTTGCCATGTCTTCCAGGATACCTTCTTGTCCTGGCACCCTCCATGTGGTCACTGAAAGACAAGGCGGTTGGCCACAAGCAAATGCTGCAGCAGCTAGTGGCCTTCGATGTTCGGAATTGCAGCTGTTCGGACGAGTCGGACCGAATCCTATTGGAGGCTGGGATGGACGCGACACAGCTCCAGGTTTAGACGGTCGGAGGCAGAGGAAACCAACAGCACAACAAAGGGACAGCACAGATGTACACAGAAAGAGCGGCGTAAGGCGACGCTGCAAGAACGAGAAAACAGCACAAATACACGCACACGCGCACACGCACGCCC